ATCGTAACAAACCATGGATTCAGCCAGCGCACAACATTCGCTTCTCGAGACTGAAAAATTTTTTGTCATCTTACCCGTTCCGCAGGCTCAAGCGTCTCCACTTAGTTGACAGATTGATAGAGCAACAACGGCTCTCCGATATTCTCGATTTCGGGAATAGTGCATTTAAGGTCGAATGCCTTGCTCAGAACGATTTTGAAGATCTAGCGCACAAGTTTTAGTTATGATAGGATACTCGACAAACAAAATGGGGGAGCGGGTTGTGCAGTGCACTACCTTCTGGACATTTATGCTGTGGCTCGTGCTGCTGAATATCAAACTGGCTCGCATAGCCTTGGCAAAGCGTTTAGCCTGTTTGCCTTATCTGTCAGCCTTGAAGATAATAATAAACAACATAATATGAAAATCGCATCACTGACCTGGATTGATATTTCCTCCTGATCCTCTCGCGGGAAGTTAACGAAATGGTCATACTTTGTGCCAATAAGGAATGGGATGGCGGTCTTATTGGACCCGCGGCCCTGTCGGTTACCATTCCTTGATGGAATTCAGGGTACTTTTCGGGTCAGGTCGAACATGAATAATATAGCAACTGCATCGTTGCACACCAGAGGCAACATGTTGACAAATTTCACGCTGTCCGCCCCAAGTCCCAGATGGAAAACGTAATTTCTGTATTCCGAATTGAAATGGTCTTCTCCATAAAATTGACCCCTATTGTGCCAACGGACCACAACATCAGTAACCGACATCGTTAACTAACAAATACCATACACCCTCCCAAAATTAGTATTATTGTATTATTTTCTTACCAAGTGTTTGGATGTAGTCTTCATCCCAACTTCCCTCCACATATTTAACCATAAGGCTGGTTTTCCCTATCTGGGCGTCTCCCACCATTCCAACCTTTATTACGACGCTATTCTTGCTGGGAGCAGGCTGTTGTTGCTGTTGCTGTTGCGGCTGCTGTTGCGGCTGCGGCTGGGACTGGCGCTGTTCCCGATTTTGGTCCTGGTAAGGCTGCGTGTATCCGTATCTGTCGCCTCCACCCGACATTCGCGAGCTAGGTCGCGAACTTGCCTGGGCGGATTGGCTAAGTTGGGAGGGTTGCTGAAAAGACATGGTCGGGGAATGATGCCGAGGAGACGATTCAATATCTTGCGGTACGAAGGATTGGCTGGAAGTGGGGTAGTCGATAGAGTGTGGTGAGTGGTCGTCCGCTTGATGGGCCATTGCTGTAACCATTGTTATTGTACGAGGTTGAGCTGGAAACTTGTTCTGCTGCGGCTGCTGGCATGTCATGCTCTGTGTGGCGGGTTTGTTCAGGAGGTTGGTCATGAATCTGCGGAGAGGGCTGCGCAGAAATCTGATCGGCAACAGGATCCTGAGACTCAACCTGATTTGGTTCCCCTTCGATAGGAACTGTTTGCTGCAGCACAGGCAATTTATCCGCCTCCATTGGTGGGTTTTCCATCTCTTCCCAACGTTAGTGCCAAATACCAGTATCAGCCAAATCAGTCTCAAGGAGCGTAAATGGTGAATGAGGCAGGGATGGAATGAATAAATAAGCGGACTAAAACTTCAAAGGACGTCAAATATCGTCATGGATCACGACTTAAAACTCCGCCAATTTAGGTCTCCATGAAATGGCCGTGAAAGTCTTTGGGATTTCCCCTTAAATGAAAGTTCCGGCGGTTGCTGGACAATGTTTATTATATACCTAACCTGTTGGAGGCGGTTGTTCGGATTGGAAGCTTGGGACCCTGCTCGTGGCGCGTTGAAACAGCGGGTTAATTAATATAAACGCGACAAGTTCTGAAAACGACCGAAAACCGAGAAGTAGATCCAGAAGAAGTCGCTGTTGGAAATTTCTACCAACGTGCTCCCTTACAACAAGCCATCAGCGCAACCTGAACGTCGTCAACAATGGCTTGAGACCGATTGTAGGGGTTTGGGATCAGGCAATTTGTTCCAAGAACGGACTAGCGTTCTGCCCCCTCATAAAAAAAGTTTCCTCACAAAATCCAATCGACCAAGCAAAAAAATATTTGAGTAGTTTCCATGTGAACTTGCGATGGCTTCAGCACGCCAACACTTCGCACCAAGAACGACATTTTACCAAACATATATTTAATTTCAATTCGGAAACGTACTCACAATGTCGAAACGAGGCGTGGATGTGATAGAGGATCCGTCCGCACCCTTGAAGGCTGGCGAACGCCCCGTTGCTGATGCCCCGCCTGATGAAGTGGGGGAATTCGAAGACGAGTTTGAGGATGAGTTCGAGAGCGAAGATGAGATCCTCGAGGCTGGGGTTGACGGGCGTCCAGATGCAGAAAGGGAGGCAGAGGAGCAAAGGGGTATGTGGCTGCCCATGAAGTGAAAAAGAATAAAAACGACATTGCGGTGGGCAAATCCGTTTCGTCGCAATTAATTCCCAACGGATCAAAAATATATACTGATGAATAAATTAAAATAGATGCCATGGATGTCGATAAGCAGACTTTTATACCAGGTCGAACAAAACTAGCACCCGGGGAGACATTATCTCCAGACCCTTCTACTTATGAAATGCTCCACACACTCAGCACACCGTGGCCGTGCCTGTCATTCGATATAGTGAAAGATGGACTGGGCGATAAGCGGAAAACATATCCGGCCACGGTATATGCTGTAGCTGGAACGCAAGCGGATAGGTCTCGTTTGAAGGACAACGAATTGATGGTTCTCAAATTGAGTGGACTTAGCAAGATGGAGCGGGATAACGACTCGGGGAGCGATGACGAGTCCGACGACGAATCTTCAGAGCCCATCCTCGAATCAAAATCCATTCCCCTGAGCTGTACAACAAACAGAATCCGCACTCATCAGACACCGTCTTCCTCCGGAGACTACTCCAAACCACCTCAGACCATCACTGCATCCATGCTTGAAAATTCTCAGGTTGTGATCCACGACGTCACCCCCTTTCTTTCCACATTTGATAACCCTGGCTCAATCCTCCCCCCTTCTTCCTCGAAACCTCTGTCTACTCTGCGAATGCACAAATCAGAGGGATATGCCGTAGACTGGTCCCCTCTGCACCCCTTGGGTAAACTGCTGACTGGCGATAACGACGGGTTAATATACACCACTACTCGTACTGAGGGAGGCGGCTGGGTGACAGACACACGTCCATTCGTCGGGCATACTTCCTCTGTCGAAGAACTGCAATGGTCTCCAAACGAACGCAATGTTTTCGCATCCGCAAGCAGCGACGGAAGCGTCAAGGTATGGGACGTGCGATCCAAGTCGCGAAAAGCAGCAGTAGATGTCAAAATATCCAACACGGACGTGAATGTGATGAGCTGGTCACGGGAGCAATTTCCATCTCCTGGCCACGGGAGCAGACGACGGCCAGTGGGGGGTGTGGGACTTGCGACACTGGAAACCTAATACATCCGGCGGTGCTTCGCTGCTTAAACCGAAGCCTGTTGCCTCTTTTGACTTCCACAAAGAGCCTGTCACAAGCATAGAATGGCATCCGACAGATGACAGTGTTATTGCCGTTGCGTGTGCGGATAATACGCTGACACTGTGGGATCTAGCTGTGGAACTCGACGATGAAGAGAGCCGCGATGCTGGATTTGCTGATGTGCCGCCTCAGCTTCTCTTTGTGCATTATATGGAGTCAGTGAAGGAGCTGCATTGGCAGGCGCAAATGCCCGGGACTATTATGGCCACTGGAAGTGGTGGATTTGGGTAAGTGTTTCAAAGTTTTCCAGTTCATTCCGTTTATTATTTTTCAAGCATACTCACACTTGTTCACTATATGATGCTAACGAATCTTCTTGGAAACAGAGTGTTTAAAACCATCAGTGTTTAAATGATTATTAGGCTTTGGAAGGGGCTGGGTTTATACGATACGGAGCTAGGCACAATAAAAATCGCATATATTAATGGTCATAAATTATTCCCTATTGTGTTTATTCCTGTAAATTTCTTATCGCGGGAGTAAATAAATAAGCCAATGAATGAATGAATGAATAAATGAATGAATAAATGAATGATAGAAACTCAAATATTAAATGTTTATATACCTTGACATCTTACCGCGGCCCCAATCCGTGAAAGGGAATACTCCTCATACCAAGTGATAGAACAGCATAGGCCAAAACTACTTAAGGAAGACTGCAACTGCTATTGCCACCTAGCATCATATTCCGTAGAGGCAATAGAGAAAATTTTACGAGCGGCTTAATGTATCAGCCTAGGGTACTGGCGGCTATTCCCTTTCGTTGACATCGCCAGGAGAAAGATTCGGCTATTCCCCATCAAACGGGAAATCTCGAAGAATAATTATACATAAACCATGCGTTTGCTGATGTTCTTCGCCCCCTACGTTGGCACGTACCTTAAGGGTGATTTACATATTAAAAACCATCACTGTTCAACAACCTTTTGCCAAGCTCTCTCCCTAGATCATTGAAGAGGTTATGGATGGGCAATCAAACGTAGCAAAGAATGCAGGAATCCTCCGCCGCCCAAAGGAAAGGGAATGGACAGGGCAACTATAAATTGATCGATGCCCGCGGACCAAGTCTTGACTTTGGTGGCTATTTTTCGTGACATTCTTAGTTGATCGTGAAACCATCGAACACATAACAAGGAAAAGAAACCCATATATCTTTCATATCTAGTAAACCCTCCGCTCAACCCTGAATACAACACCAAAGAACGTTTGTATTTTGGGAAAAGATAGTGGTTAGCTTCAATCCTCCAAAGGGATATACTGATTCAAAAAGGTGGGGCGAAGGAGTATCGAAAGCTCAGTTGTCAATATCAAAAAGGACTACCATCAAGAACTTGTTCGGCGCCATAAGACATCCATATCTTCAGAGAGAATCCTCGACATCCGAAAACAACTTAGACATAATGGATCAGCACTCCAAGATGGCAGATAATAATAACGGCATGAACAACCAGCATCGCGATTTGACCAAGGCCACCACGCCACACCGGGCCGAAAAGGAGGCTGACAAAAACAAAATCCTTCTAGACAATGATGCTAAGTCTCCCTTTTCTGAGAATATCTCAAAAGCCTCTAAGAAGCAGGAAACCGGCAAAGGCAGTTTATTGGCCTCTGCGCCAGCGAAAAGACCAGAGCCCGTGCTCCACCTCCGTGGCGGCGGCTGCGTAGCGAGCTCCGTAGTGAACCGCATGGCCCCAAATCGCCATCCTGACGACAACGAGCGTCCCACTAAGCTTCTCTGGTACATGATAGGTCAGTCAAGTGTACCTCCCCCAACATTCGGCGAAATTAGACGTAGCCGAAAAGGCGATG